GGGGCAGGGCTGGGTCTGCGGCCAGCAGCAGCCTGTCCCTCCAGGACAAACTGGCGGAGAGGAAGGCGCTGCTGCTGCAGGCTGTGCAGAGGTGAGTGCCCCAGCCTCCGCCCCTGCCCCTCGGCTCCACACCCCTGGCTCACAGCCTGGGCCCATCCCAGGGAGCAAAACAGCAGGTGCCCACCCGTGAAGAGGGCAGGGGGGGTCGGGGCACGGGGAGGGGAGGGTGGCAGAGAAGGATGCACACAGCTGGTGGGTGATGGCACCACTGGGTCGGGCCCCCTGCGGGTGGGAAACCCTCCCCCTAGAAGCTGAGGCTGCTGCCCCTCCCCCAGCCAGTATGAGGAGAAGGACAAGGCCTTCAAGGAGCAGCTCTCCCACCTGGCCACCCTGCTGCCCACCCTGCAGGTAAGGGGAGCCGGGGTGCGGGGCTAGGCACTCTGGCACAGAGGGCCCCTCCCAGGCCAGGCACCGAGCAGTGTCACTCCTGCAGGTTCACCTGGTCATCTGCTCCTCCTTCCTCAGCCTGGCCAGCAAGGCGGAGTTCCTGGACCTGGGCTATGTGAGTCCCCAGCTCCTGCGGGGTCTTCCCCTCCAACACGGGGTCTCCCAGTCCACCACCGAGGGTTGGCAGCCTGTCACCTGGAGGCGGGAGCAGGGGTCTCTGGGCTTACCTTCCCCTCTTCCACACCATCATCTACAGGCTGGTTAGGGAACAGCTGAGCCCATTTCTAGGGGGAGGGCTCCCCCCCCCCCAGAGGGCCGGACCTAGTGGTTCCATCACCCCCACCCGCTCTGGTTTGGCTCAATGGATAGAGCATCTGCCTGTGGACTAAAGGGTCCCAGGTTTGATTCCCGTCAAGGGCACATGCCTGTTTTGCAGGCTTGATCCCCAGTAGGGGGCGTGCAGGAGGCAGCCGATCAATGATTCTCTCTCATCATTGATGTTTCTATCTCTCTCTTCTTCTCCCTTCCTCTCTGAAATCAATAAAAATATATATTTAAAGTAAGTCCTAGCTGGTTTGGCACAGTAGATAGAACGTCGGCCTGCTGACCAAAGGGTCCCGGGTTCAATTCTGGTCAAGGGCACGACGGACCTTGGTTGCAGGCTCCTCCCCAGCCCAGGTCCTGGTAGGAGGTTCATGTGGGAGACAATTAATCGATGTGTTTCTCTCACATGGATGTTTCTCTCTGTCTTTCCCTCTCTTCTACTCTCTCTCTAAAAAAAAAATCAATGGAAAAATATCCTCAGTGAGGATTAACAAAAAAAAATTAAACTAAAAAATATATCCTAGCCAAAACCAGTTTGGCTCGGTGGATAGAGCATCGACCTGCGGACTGAAGGGTTCCTATATAATAAAATCCTAATATGCAAATCGACAACCAAAGGAACTACCTGTGGAACAACAGGTCGCTATAATGCACACTGACCACCAGGGGGCAGACGCACAACCCAGGAGCTGCCCCCTGATGGTCAGTGCGCTCCCTCAAGGGGAGCACCGCTCAGCCAGAAGCCAGGCTCACCGCAGGCAAGTGCAGAGGCGGTGGCAGGAGCCCCTCCCTCCCCCCTCCCCTGCAGGCGGGCAATAAGGAGTGAGGGGGTCCCAGACTGTGAGAGCCCTGGACTGTGAGAGGGATGTCTCACTGCAGGGGAAATCGGGCCTAAGCCAGCAGGTGGACATCCCCCAAGGGGTCCCGGACTGTGAAAGGGTGCAGGCCAGGCTGAGGGACACCCCCCCCTCCAGTGCACGAATTTTGTGCACCGGGCCTCTAGTATTTAAAATAAAAATATAAATAAAAGAACAGCACAGGCTGGAAGGCAGCATAAGCCTCTACTCCCCCAAAATGCAGCATCTAGGGGAGTCCAGCCACCCAACCTTTCCTGTGGATTTCGGGTGGGGTGGTGTGGGGGTTCCCAAACAGTCCCAGGGAAAGGTGGGAGCCTCCAACAGACACCCAGGTAAAGTGCCCTTGGGGCCTTCCCCTCCTTATCATGCC